AGTTGATAGTTGGTGATGATGCAAACAAATGTTCAGTAGTCAGGAGGAAATCTGAACCTCCAAAATCTGCTTTGTTAATTAACTTCAAGACGTCATGCTATTGGGACCCTGTACTCTACAGTCACAGACTATCAGAAACATTGCTGTCTGAAACCATATGATGAGGATGGAATATCCCACTGTTGACTGGATGATCTGAATCACCTCAGTTGCTTTCCTACAGATACGTAGCCTTGATTTTCAAGAGAAGGCGTTTTGGACACATTTCAAATTTGTCTTACTTTTAAAGTTTCCAAGAAAATAAGTCCCTGAATCCCCTTATCAGACCAGGCCTGACTTAACCCCCTTGCTGTGTGCAGTAGTTAAGGTTATTTGTCAACTTGGCTGGGCCTGGTTTTGAATGGCTGGGCAGCTGGATATAGTGATTCCTTGTGATGAGACTGGTAATCAACCCCATGGTGGAATCTGCTGTGAACAACTGAGTAGCTGCCTTAGGGATGTGGTTTGGTTCCAGTATATAAGCAGCAGCTTTGAGAAAGGTTTCTGAGCTTTTTGGAACATCTGGATCCTGCGTTTGGCTGAGTCATCAGTGGTCTGCCATGTTGTCTGCCCATTTTGAGGCTGTTTAACTAGTGGCCTGCCATGTTGCTTGAAAATCTTGGGACTGTGCCATTTTACTTATCGACTTTGGGTATTTCAGCCTCAGCAGCCAGCAGCTGTCTGAGTGAAGAGACACCTCCAGCTTCAGTGGGTTGGCAGCAAGAGGCAAAGCTGAATCCCAAGGTCGAGGGGCTAGCACTTTGAACTTGGACTTCTAGTCTCCTAACCTGTAAGAGATAAATCCCTGTTTTTGAAGCCATCCACTTGTGGTATTTCTGTAAAAGTGGCACTAGAGAACCAATACATTGTGACTGTACCAAAACAAACAAAACAAAAACCCATTATTTCATTTAATTTTTAATTTAAACTTCACCTTTCCCTCAAATCTTATAAAACCCTATTTTTACTGTTTGGTGAAATGCCCCATGGTTCTCCTGGTGTACAGTTCCCCTTGCACAAATCAATAGATCTCTCATGAACTGCAAGTTTTTATCTGATAATCTTTGGCTGTTGGGCTTTTATTAGAATTATGGCAACTGATGGGAGATAGAGGCCTTAAAGGATAAATACATTCACCTTTCCCCATTGATTCTCTCCTTGATCATATAGCTTCTGTGGTGGTTAAGTTTGTGTGTCAGCTTGGCTGGGCCTGGTTGAGTGGCTGGGCAGCTGGATGTAGTATTTCCCATGATAAGACTGATAATTAACTCCATGGTGGAATCTACTGTGAGCAGCTGAGTAGCTGCCTTACGGATGTGGTCTGCTTCCCATATATAAGCAGCAGCTGTGGGAACGTTCTCTAGCCTATGGCACACTTGAACCTTGCATGTAGCCAAGTCATCAGTCAGCAGCCTGCCATGCTCTGTCGACCCTGGGACTTTCAATGGACTTAAATTAATGGCCTGCCATGTGGTTTGGCAACATCAGGACTGTGCCATATTATCTGTTGACCTTGGGCTTGTTAGCCTCAGCAGCCAGTAGCTGCCTGAGTGAAGAGATGCCTCTAGCTCCAGTGGGCTGGAAGCAAGAGGCAGAGCTGAAGCCCAAGGTCACACAGCCCCTAGAGCCTGGCACTTTGAACTGGGGCTTCTAGCATTAGGAGCTCTGGTAGTGTAGTGCCTAAGGCACTTGGCTGCTAACCAGAAGGCTGGCGGTTCAAACCCACCAGCCACTCCTCGGAAGGAAGATGGGGCAATCTACTTCCGTAGTGCTACTGCCTTGGAAACCCAAGGAGGAGTTGCTATGAGTTGGGTCCGACTCAATGGCACATAACAACAACAAACTGTAAAAGAATAAACTGTTTGTTAAGGCCATACCACTGGTGGTATATTCTTGTCAGAGTGGTACTAGGTAATGAAAACAGCTTCTCACAGATGCTGAATAATCATACACTAACTATTTTATCAGTCTTCTAAGATGTGTTTCACATTAGTCTTCCTGAGAGTAGGCCCAAATGGACAGTAGATCAAACTCAAATTTCTGGAACTGTAAACTAAGGACTGGCCTTGGAATGCATCCCCACTATGTGTGGTGTTTTGTCCATAATACCTTTGTACTCACTTTCAGTGGCTGTATTCAAGGATGAAGGACACATAAGAGTAAGGGCATCAATGGACAAAAGGATTCCCCTGGAATGTACAGAGCACTTTAGCTATACCTGGTGCTCCGTCCCTGGACTCCTGCTCCATCTCAGACCCTGCTCAGGACGTAACACCCATCACAGCTTCTACAGATAAAGACGATGCTGTGTCTCTGACAAGTGCGGGTGTGAGCGATGGGGGGTTGAAAATGCTTTAATGCACTAGTTTTGGTTTAAAGCTGTCCTCAGAACTTTCATTTTAATCCAATGTTAAAGTTCTCGTGGGGGCGCGGAACCCAACCTACCACAAGCTGGAGCTATTAGCACAGGAGGCCTATATCCGGATGCATGCAAATGGGTGAGGCCACCTGGGTGAAGGAGAGGGCCGGGGACTGGCAAGCAGAAGAGGGGGTGGAGATGGAGCCCGGCAGACGCCAGCAGGACAGAGGGCAATGGGCTGGGGTCTCTCGCCGGCAGGGGTTAGGGGCCTGGGCCAGTCAAGGCAAGGAAGGGTGGAGAGGTACCTGCCAGGGAGGGCCTGACGAAGCCAACCCGGCAAGGAGGCGGGGTTGGGATCTACTAGGCTGAGAGGAGGCGGGTTCTTGCCTTCGAACTTTGGGCCAAAGACTCACGACCCAAGAGGTTTCTCCCCCAAGTTGCGAAAGGAAGGAGCTCTACATCTCTTAAGCTAGCTCTGGGGCGTGGGCACAGTTTTGCGGATGTCTTGCCTTCAGCAGGGTTTGGCTTCCGCCGCAAGAGCTTGGGAAGGGCGCGCATGCGCGTGCTGGAAGGAAGCGGCAGCGCAGCAGATAGAGCGCGTTTTCTCAGGTGGGTACCCGAACTTGGTGAACTCCAGGCAGGCGTGACAGCGTTCAGCCTCTTCGGCTTAGGCCGGCTGCTTTAACTCGCGTTCATCTTAGGCATTGTGTTTTGTTTCCACGGGCTCGGCCGTCCTCTGCCGCGGCCATGATGGAAGAGGGATTCTGGATTCCCAAGTGGAGCCGGAAGAACTTCCGGGGTCGGGGCCGCTCCCAAAGCCCTAGTAACGGGAGGAGAGTCGTGGTCAAGCTTTAATTATTACTTTAAAATTCTGTGTAGAAAGTTCAAATTGTAGCCCTCGACAAGGTCTTGCATCATACTATGCACGATAGTAACCCTACATCATTTGGAAGCCGTTCATTTTAGCGAATTTTGATTTAAGACGCTGTTCAGACTTGCTAGCGCATGTGCAGGGGCGGAAGGCCGGAAGTTTATAATCCACGGGGCTTGATGCTCACTTGGTCCGAATGTAACTGGTGGCGCTTTGTATGTCGAGAATGGTGGGCGACGTCACACTTACAGTTTGAGGACTGTGGAAACGACGATTCTATTAGAAGTGGCTGTCACCCAGGCGCTCTGAAAACCTTGCACGCATAACCCTAGGCTGCTGGTCTGGGTGGTACCTTCCCAGCCCTTGTGCAGATCGTGCCTGAACACTAGAGGGACTGGCGCTAGAGGTTTGCTGGGTGTTGGCTCTGGGACTGTATTTTTCAGTTTTCCATAGATCAAACAATGAACGTCCAGTGCTGAAATGTCAGGTTAATAGTACCTGGAGTTCTTTTCTCATTCATTTCTGCCCCAGTAGTTTTTCGGTGTATATGTGAAAAAACAAATAATATGGTTAAAACATCATATATGCACATTATGTAATGCTCATATTTATGTCACTTATATACACATAAATATATGTCACAACATGAGAGGATACAAAAGTAAAAATAACCACCTCTTTTCCTCTCATTCTTGCTATCCACAGGTAACCCTTGATAGCACATGTTTTAATATCCTTCCATCATTAAATCCTCCTTTTTTATAGGCATATATAACGCTCAAGGAAGCTCTGATGGTGCTGCGGTTAAAGTATTGGGCGGCTAACTAAAAGGTCATCAGCTGCTCTGCAGGAGAAAGATGAGACAGTCTGCTTCCATAAAGATTCATAGCCTTAGGAACCCAATGGGGTAGTTCTCCCCAGCCCTATAAGGTCACTGTGAGTCGAAATCCATTCATTGACAGTGGGTTTGATATTGGTTATAATATGCTCAAAAACAAACAAAACGATTATTTAATTTGTACTATTCTGCAACTTTCTCTTTTTGCTTAGTGTATTTTGGGCATTTTTACATCTTAGCTGGTATTGTCTTCTAATTAATGGCTGCGTAATATTCCATTGTGTCATACAAGTGTGTTTACTGGATTTTATTTTTAATGCTTCCAAGTACGTAGCCTGTAGAAACTGGTAGTCTTTATAGATTTTATGATCATATCTTTGGTCTGTCTTTTTGACTCTCATTCTCTCTCTAATTTGTTGCAAATACCCATTTAGTTATATTATTTCAGAATCCTGATATTGAAGAACAAACCCCACTATTTACTCCATACTGAAAGATTTCTTCCCCCCACCTAAGACTTTCTTATTGGCTTATTGGCTACTCTGTAATAGAATGTTTGTATCTAAGTATAGTTAAGTTAGTGCTTAGTAAATGTGATTAGAATTGAAATGTGCAAGTTTTGGAAGTCAGTTATGAGACTTTCCATGATTAATCACCATTTAGTAGAACTTCAAGATAAAGTTGTTTTAGAGGGACCAATGTAATGAGCATTCCATTATTGTAAGGGATTGTGATTTAGCTTACAGCATGAGTCTTTCATAGATAGAAACTCTTTAGAGAAATAGCTTACTGAATAATATGCAGTTGTATACTTAAATCCTTATAGATACAAAGATTGGTGATTATATCATACAAGAGGAAGGAGAATCCTAAATAAAATCTGCATTTTTAATATGCAGAAGGGAAGAGGAAGAACAAGCCGGATCAGAAGACGAAAGCTCTTCAAAAGTTCTGACTCAAGAGGAGGTACAGTTTTGATTCTTTTGGTATTAGTGATGGGAAAACATATCTTTTGCTGATAAGAGTCTGTTCATACACAAAGCTTTTCTTAGAGATCTGTGAACAATACTCAAAGACAGTATTTTAAAAATAATCCTTTTTTCTTTAAGCAGTTATGGGAATATACAATTACTCATTTATACAATTGATTTCATTTATACAATTGATTTCATTTATACAGTTTATAGAATTGAATAATATACAATTATTCAGTTAACTCATTGCTCCAGCTTTGTCTTCTTTGGGAATGACTCCCAGGTTCCCGTTTTTTACTTTCCTCCTATACTGTTACCTCCTGTAGAATATCAGTGTTTGGATATAAGTTTGTTCCTTCATATTCAGTATAACCCGCTCTGAATGAGATACTATATGTGGAAGTGTTTGGCTGACTGGAAATCCTCCATAAATGCAATTGTTAGTATTACAAAAATGAATAACACTCCTTCTAGTTGACCCTAAATATGTCAGGACCACCCTTGAGGTAATCTCCAACTCTTTATTTACCTTCTATAGCCAGTGTCCTGCTAACTCTTGCCTGACCTTTTCCTAGGTTTAACTTCTCCCTGTATACTGTGATGATTTCAGCTGGTTCTTGAGTCTAAACCCCCTTGCTTTTCTTCCCTATTTGCTGTCCCATTTATTGCTGTCAGTCTTGTCTTCCTAAAGGACTACTTCCATGCTACCTTTTTGATTAAAAGCCTCCAGGCCCTTTTTGCATGATATCTGAACAACTCCTTCTGCCTAGCATTCAAGGCTTTTTATGAGGGGGCTCCAGGCTCCCATCTTCTCCATCACCTCTCCCTGAACATACCCTGTGCACTTCCATTTCTATGCCATTCCTCATATTTCTCCTTCAGCCTAGAACCTGTTTTTCCTCTTCCTTCTTGTCCAGTTTCTCTGCAGCTTTCATGGCTAAGTTGAGCTCTTCCTTTCTTGGTAATATCTTTTCCAGTTAGCACTAATGCTACCCTTCTTTGGATTGCTGTCATGCTTATTGGGTGTCATTCTTAAGGTGTTCGTGGATTTCCAGTTGTTTTTCATGGAAATCTTGTTTCCCAACTAAATAGTCAACTTCTTGAGGGTGAAGAACTCATTGAATATGCCCCACAGTGGCTAGCACATTGCTGTGTGTATAGCAGATGATCAGTAAACACTCAGTAGTTAATTGCTCTTACTGTAAACTCTTCTCTAATTTGTTGATAACATTTTGGGAAATCTTAAGTCTTGGGTCATGTTATTTTTTAAACAATTTTATTGTAGTATAATTGGCATACAGTGTCTCATACATAAAGTGTTCAATTTGATAACATTTGCTATCTATGTACCCATGAAACCATTATCATAGTCAAGATAATGAATGTCTGTCACCCCAAAAGTTCCCTTGTTTCCCTGTGTAATTCCCTTCTTCCACACCTCTTTGAATGATCTCTTTCCTGTCCCTAGGCAACCACTTACTATCCCTATAGAACAGTTTGCATTTTATTGAATTTTACATAAATGGAATTACACAATTGATATTCTTTTTTTTTATCTGGATTCTTTCTCTTTACATAATGATTTGGAGGTCATTCAATGTTGTTATGTGTGTTATTGCTGAATAATTTTTCATAATTTGTTTACCCTGTTGATGAACATTTGAGTTGTTTTCAGTTTTTGGTTATTACAGTATAGCTGCTGTGAACATTTGTGCACAAGTCCTTATGGACATATGCTTTGTTTTCTCTTAGGTAAATACCTGAAAGTAGAGTGACTGAATCATATGATAGTTTTATGTTTAACTTTTAAAGAGACTACCAAAGTGTTTTTCAAAGTGGTTTGACCATTTTGCATTACCACCAGCAGCTTATAAGAGTTCTAGTTTCTCTACATTCTCCCCAACACTTGTTATTATTTGTCTTTTTGATTATAATCATTCTAGTGGATATGAAGAAGCTTTGGTGGTGCAGCAGTTAAACCATTCAGCTGCTAAGCAAGAGGTTGGCCATTCGAACTCACCAGCCACTCTGCTGGAGAAAGATGAGGCCATCTGCTTCTGTAAAGATTTAAGTCTTAGAAACGCTGTAGGGTAGTTCTGCTCTGTCCTATAGGGTTGCTATGAGTTGGGATTGATTCTATGGCAGTGGGTTTGTTTTTTGTTTGTTTGTTTGTTTAGTGGATATGAATGTTGGATGGTATAAACTGTTTCTCCTAGGCTGCTTCCTAAAGGTTGTTGGTTCAAATCCACCTAGTAGCACCATGGAAGAAGGGCCTGTCTATCTGCTTCTGTAAAGATTATAGCTAAGAAAACCCTACAGAACAATTCTGTTCTCTAACACATGAGGTCACTATGAATTTGTTTACATTATTTATTCTTTTTTAAAAATGTATTCCCTTTTATAAAGGACTGTCTGCCTGAGACACTTCATCAGCAATTTAAAGAAAATGGTGAAATGATTATACACTGTCTTAGCCTGGGTTTTTTAGGGAAGCAAAACCAGTGAAATACATATATGTTGTTAGTTTGGTGCCATTGAGTCAGCTTCAACTCATAGCGACCCTCTGTACAACAGAATGAAACACTACCTGGTCCTGCACCATCCTCACAGTCCTTGCTATGCTTGAGCCCGTTGTTGCAGACACTGTTCTGTCCATCTCAATAAAGGTCTTCTTTTTTGCTGACCCTCTACTTTACCAGGCATGATAATATCCTTCTCTAGGAATGGTCCCTTCTGACAACATGACCAAAGTAGGTGACATGAAGCCTGGCCAGGCTTGCTTCTAAGGAGCATTCCAGCAGTACTTTTTCCAGCACAGCTCTGTTCATTCTTCTGGCAATCCATAGTATTTTCAATATGCCTTGCCAACACTGTAATTCAGAGGCATAAACTCTTCTTCTGGGGGGGCTTTATTTTAAGGCCAGGCCATGGATGCGTAGGTGGGAAGGTGCATCAGGGCTCTGGGGTGGCTTTATTTTAAGGCCAGGCCCCAGACAGGCAGGGAAGTGACCAGAGCATTTAGGAACAACTAAGGGAGAAGAACTTGTCTGTCAGTTTGTCATCCTGTGGTGGCTGCTGCTTGTTGTGAGGCTGGAGGCTATGCCACCAGTGTTGCACAATACCAGCAGAGTTACCCACAGTGGACAGGTTTCAGCTGAGCTTCCAGACTAAGACAACCTTGGAAGAAGGCTCAAAGAATTGGCCAGTGAAAACCTTATGAATAGCAGTGAAACACTGATTCATTCCTGGAAAATTTTATGAGTAGCCCTGCAGAGTAGTAAATTACTTTGTGTGGCTTTTCTACCCATAAGTCTTTGTAAACTCCAAGATGGTATTTGCTATGAGCAACTGAGGAGCTCCTGATTGCTGAAGGTGTCCACCTGGAGTATTTCTGTTGGGAGTGGCACAAAACAATGTTCTGGGAGGTGCCCACTCTCTCTCAGGTGC